GACGGACATTAGGCCAAAGCCAGAGTTAAAATCCTATTAGTTTGAGTTGGGAATCGGATTATCGTCGTCGAGAATCACTCGTCTGGCAACTAGTGTCTAATTTACGCCAATCAACAGCAATTATTGAGGGGAAGGGAGCCCCTATTAGAGAGCCTCATCCACTTAGTCTAATGAATGGGGAAGATTCAATCTTGGCTGTGGAGACGCATTGGAGAGCTGCAGCTGAACGCGACTGCACCAGCAGGCTAAAGCAGAGCTGCTGTTATTTATCAATGGTGGGGGGCTGTCAGAGCGAACATGCGTTAGCCATGGGGCACTGGGCTCTGGTTTCTGATGGTCTGGGGGCACTCTGGCCAGTAAAGCTGTTAGTGTGACTCTCTACAGCCCATTATGTGTATACTCGGAGAGACATGTATCGGGACATCGTGTGTTATGGCCTGAGAGCGGGATGTTTTATTTCCCATCATAAATCAGAAACTATAGGCAGTCTATTATGTTCACTTTAGAGAAAATGTGCACTCACTGGGTATACACAATACTGTGAATAGCATTTATTGTAGCCAAATACATTCTTAAAGGTTTATGCGATACTAAAAGAATGTGAGGTACTCTTGTTTAGTACAAAAAAAAAGATCCTCACTGTGTTATTTTATTTTAAAATGTCCATTTCTCTTTTGATTTTACAAAATGACAGTAACTTAAAGTGAACCGAAAACCGAGGGGAATTGTTTTAACTTTTGTAGTATGTGGCAGTCTTTAATTCGGGGAACAATATATTTTTAATGTCACCTACCCAACCCTGACTCATTATCTTCTCACTTTAATTTCCCTCATTACAAGCACTTAACACTAAAAACATCCACATATTAAACATGAATCATAAAGTGTGAAGTGTGTAACCATCAGTTGGTGCTTCAGACTTTAGTGTATGTCCATTCTTACACTGCCCTCTAGTGTTGGGAAAGCTCAATACCATAATGTGAAAATCAGTGGTAGATGAACTGTGACCTATACAAAAAGCCTTTAAAATACAGACACATCAAATGTTAGGTGATAGATATACTGTTCCTTAAAAAACTGAATATGTTGATGGTATTTGGAAGACTTAAACAGTGATAATATCAAATTGGTAAAGTGTTATCAGTCTATTAATCATAACTGCTGTCGTGGGTGGTAGCAAAAATAACGCTGCAACTATAGCAGGTTGATATAGATATACATGATGCATGAGCAAGTGTTTGTGGGTATCTCCAAATGACATCAGATCCTGTATCATGACCTCTGGCATGCAAGTGTCTTGCTCTAATTTGCAGTGCCTATATATTCTTCATTTTGCAATTCGTCAAAAAAAGAGCTTTCCGTCTATTTGATATTAATGGTGAGGTCCTGAACATCTCACGCTTCGGGGGAAATCCCTTTAATGTCTTTCTGTTGGGGTTCAGCTTTTCCAAATTGGTGAGAGGATGCATCAAGTTATTAATAACATCAAATATTTCCATACATGAGGGTTTCATTTCCGATCAAGACTCTTTCCGTATCCTAATCTTACACCTGCACATTAGACTGATAACCTTTTCAACTGTTATCTTAAGTAATTAGGCCTTCATGATATTTAACGCATAATGTGGAAACCATGGTGGAAACATGCATATTTGTTGTGTCTATTTCTAATTAAAACGTGTTCCTCAAATATGTACTCTATAAGAAAATGTTGTTATAGTATCAGCTAAACCCAACATGTATTTAAAAAACACATATTTAAAGTGACCATTCCCAAAATATAAATAGTTTGTGCAAACATGTGAAGCATAAATGAACTGCCGAAATCTCCACACATAAAGACAACACAACAGCTTCATTAGTGGGAACACTGGTTTGTGGTTGAGGCCGCATGCTCAAAGTCAAGTGACGTAACTTTTTCCTTTATATTAGCTGCTTATGTGAAGATTAACAGGAAGTGGCGCTTGCTAACTCATTTCAGACCGTGTCCTTTCCCTTTTCAAGTGTGACTGATCATAAAAGTAAATTCAAGCTCTGTCCCTCTGTGGGAGTGTAAAAGCATACTTTTTCCTGTGGTGACCTTCACGGCTCGTTGACTGTGGGTAGCTTGTTCCGTTTCACTTTTACGCTCTCATAGTCGCTTCTCATTGCCCCCAGTGAAAGTTCAAGGGGGGAAATTAAAAACTGGCGACAGTAGCCTTTCATAACGACCCTTTAACATACATAGGTTTCATTTCTTGCTGTTGCCTGTCCACATTGACCGTCAAGCCCCTAACCACAGCCGCCCCCTCACACTCAATGCACCACTTTATGCCATAATGACACTTTAGACAGCAATAGGGTTGGAAAAAGATACAATGACGTAACCAGCACACAATACCAATTAAATATTTTGTAATCATAAAGCAGTGGACATAAACCTTAAAGCAGTGTTTTCAGACAGTCCATGCACCCCTTAAGCTTAATCATTGTCATCATTAACAATATTGCAGGAACAACTGTTAAATAAGGAGCTGCACTTTAAATCTTATTCATTTCAATTTATTTACATATTTTCCCCCTGGTCATCCACCTGTGTGCAGTGGTCCTATAACATCAACCAATTTAAGATAAGATAAGATAGTACTTTATTGATCCCAATTTGGGACATTTTAGTTGTATTATACTTTGTTCATTCATTTGTTTATTCGCTTTCTACAGAACCTATCTCCAGTTGGATAAAATGATCAATGATCTTACACAGTATAGCTAAATATGAAGGTATAGCCAACAGCAATTGGTTAGCTTAGCTTAGCATAAAAACAGGAAACAGGGAGACAGCCAGGGGACAGTATATGCAACTTTCTGAAGTCTTGTTATCACTGTCAAGTTGCCAGAAATACTCCACTCCAAAATCTCTTATTGGCAACATTTTATAATCTTGGGTATGCAAAAGTTTTCCTTCAGCTCTACATTATGCAGATTATATCCCAAAGATAGAACATGTGGTAACTCAGGTGACATTAGTGACCCCATTTCCATTGTCCCTGCAGGCAGAAACGAGAAAAGAAACTGTCCCACCCCCACATTTGCCCTCGCCAGCATATGACGGTGAAATAAATGACAGATAAATGAGGAAACCATGACTGAGAAGGTACCACATTTGAAGGGACACAATACCAACTCATACATGACATCATTGTGTTTTTGTGGCGGTGCCAGATTAAATCTTTAATGTCAATGACAAGAACACCAGATATTGCACAGAAATTGACCAAATTAAAGATATAGGCACATATTAAGTGAGTTTCTTAACTATATTTTTGTATAACAGTATACACACACAAATCACAACATATTCACGATGACTCTACAGGGTAAAGTTCAAAGTTAATTTAAGGTAGTTTTAATTTCTTTAGTTTACTCCAATGTTTAAACATTTTAACAAAGCTATCAACGCAAAAATACTATTATGATCAGCTTGATACAGTGTCTGTTGTTGCTATTGTGTAAACAACTGTCCCGTGACCTTCCTGGTCATTTTGCATTTGTCCTTTTGCATAAATTAAAAAAGCGGGAGAGTTAAAATAAATAAATAGGTGACAACATAAGTGAGTGTATTTTTGGGATCCTGATGTGGGGAAATTCCTGGAGTATTACTTAAAGGACCAAAATAAAAATGACTTCACTGAAGGTATAACTAAGATGAGTTCATACTGACACACTGAGGTTTGCATGCAAGTCTGCAGATATTCAAAAATAGTAGTGTGAATGTGAATGTAGGTTATGTCTCAGAGGAGGAAACTGCTCCTGTGTATTGCCATACCACAACTGTCAACGTGTCAGCAGCGGGGGGAGGTGAGAAAGGAAGCCCCTTTCTGTTTACCTCCCACTTCAATGTTTCATAACTTACACTGAGTTCCATCGGAGCGAACGCACATATCTTGGGCCTTAAAGGTGCCCTGAATGTTGCAGTCTAAAAGACATACAGATTTCGAGAGAACAAAGGAAATTAAGCACATTTAGTGTAGCCTACTCCAAAAACGTAGTTTGTTACAATGGTTTAACTTCTGCCCTATCTTCTCAATCTAGTTGCTGACATCAAGATGTCTACATCTGCAGGTCTAAAATGCTGCTGTTATAAATGTCCTTCTCAATTGGCAATGCATTTACAAGTGCTTAATCTGCCAGTAAACTAAAAAACGCTCTTTGCTGAGAATCTGCTGTAGCTTGCTAAATTCTATTAGAAATGCATCATTTTTTTTGAGAATCTGAATCAGCAAAGAAGGTTAACTAGTAACCTAAATTAATAAATTGGAGCAAAAAGTACAATATTTCCCTCCAAATTGTGCGACTAGAAATAGGCTGTAAAGAGGCCTAGAACATTGAAATACTCGAGTACCTCAACAGTGTAACCTACTTAAGTACAGTACACTTACTTTCCACCACTGCAATTCATCCAGAGAGGGTTATCAATGTCCAAACATCTTACAAATCTCACTTGTATTTAAAACCACAAAAGCACCGTCATGGTTCTGGATGAAAACTCTACTTGGCCTAATCCATGCATAGACTCCATCTAAAAGTTGCAAAGTCCCGAATAAATGGCTTTAAAGCTTTTGCAGCAACGAAGGACTTCTGGAGAGAGATCAACGTGCAACTTTTGTAAACAGTCTAATCGTGCAACCTGTAGTTTGTTTCGACCTGAAACACTGATAGGCTACAACATTCTAATAAAAACAGCGTCCTGCGTGCCGAGAGATAGGGAGTCAGAGGCGGTGCAAGGAAGGTGCAAAAGGGTACATTATTAAGAAGCAACTAAGGTCAAGCGTCTTTGGGTTCAAGAAAAGCGCTATAGAAATAAAAATATATTATTATTATTATTATGTTGTCCGGGAAGAAGAGAGTGAAGAGAGGAGGGCACACAACATTAGTAAAACACATAACATGTCCGTGTGGGAACAATACCCCCAACTGTAGTTCCATGTATGAATTATGAACCCAGTGTATAAATAGGTGGTCACCACAGTCCTCAATTTTCCAAACCGCGTAGGTCATCATTTTAGCAAATGATCTCTGCACGTCTCTAAACGCCACACAGCAGGTATCGAGCTTCACGTCAACGGTGAGAGGACACTTTTATTCCGTTAAAACATAATACAAACGGATGGGAAAAAAGGATATGTTTGTTTTTTAACCTCAAACATAAGCGTTATAGTGAGAGTTCGCCGCAAATTCGCGCGTGGAGAGGTTTAATTTCGACAATTAGCTTAACTACTGCACGAGGCCAAGTAGCATGTGTTTCTTTTTATTTTCTTTAACCCCGCTAACAAACTTGAAATATATGTTAATGTGACACAATGTCTTGCTTTTAACGGTGATTTACAATAGTAGATAGAGTTAAAGCAACTGTAAATGAAAGTTGAACGTGTTGAGTGTTAGCTTAATGGACAACATAGCAAGTCCCCCTGGCTACAGTAACGTAATACTTGCACTTTTACTTTGTAACAGTATTCCTACACTTTGGTATTTCTACTTTCATTTAAGTACAAGTTCTGAGTACTTCTTCCACCTTTGTTCAGTAATTGGACGCTCTTGAACCCTTTTTAGGAGCCATGCATGTCTAGCTAGTAGGGGTGTAACGGTACCCGTACCGAAATTATTCGAAAAAAGATTGAAGTGCAAACCCAACTCCCACTAGCATTTAAGCCTCCACCACTCGCAAAAAGTTTAGACCGAGCCAAAGCTATTACAAACGCCAAATATCCTTATGTTGCCATGTTAGCAAAGCGCTACCTGGCTGTATCTGCTACCTCTGCGCCTAGCGAGAGGGTGTTCTCCACAGCAGGAGACCTTCTTCACACCAAGTACTTTTCCCACAAAGCTTCCTGAGAACTACGATTTAGTTGCGTTCACACCAAAAAGTCCCAGGAACTAAATTAGTTCTAGAGAACCTTTTTTACCCCCTTTTCAGTCCCTGCTAGAGAGCAGGGACTTTCGTGTGAGAAAAAGGTTCCTGTGTCTGATTGGCTGGGTGGAATGCAAACCATGCCCCGTCAAACTCCCAAAAACGGTTGTGAAGCCGCCATTTTATTATCCTCGCATTGCATTATAGAGAACCGCAGTGACGCGTCCTAAAACCCGGATGTAAACTCCTTCCGGTTCCTTCGTCAAAAACGCAATGCAATTTCTCCATAGGATTTTGGAAAATAGCTCGAAATAAGGTCTGTGGTTGAAACACATTTAAGAGACGGATCACGTTTTGTTCAGCCGGATAATATCCACATGTCTATCCTACTTTTATAATTTTCGAAGCATAAATCTAGTCGCAAAATGCTAACGTTATGCTATAAAGGAACTACAGCAGGGTCGCTGCTTCAACGTCACGCCAATTTAAGATCCATATTCAAACATACAGATTGTAAATGGTACAAGTTGAAGTGTTTGTTTGAACATTTTGCAGGAGGCAGGGACTTGCTTTCAAGCAGAACAGGGCAAACAAACTTAGAGGAGTGCTTACGTGTTCGGTGTAATGAAGTAAAACGGCCTGGACAACTTCTGTAGTCCTATTCAGTCACTTGTTAACAACCATCGTTTTTCAGACATGTAAACTCTTCAAAAATCACCAGCTGATGTAATCACTGCTGATGTATTTAATGCCGTAGAACAAAACGTGATCTGTCTCTTCAATTGGTGTCAAACGCAGACCTTATTTGGAGCTATTTTCCAAAATCCTATGGAGAAATTGCATTGCTTTTTATCGAAGGAACCGGACGTGGTAAAAATGCTAACTTACTTCCGGGTTTTAGGATGCGTCACTGCGGTTCTCTAGCATTAGCATTATTAGCATTAGCATTATTAGCATTAGCATTAGCCCAGCGCAGAAACACAGAGAGACTAACTTATGACAACACAAAATAAACCATGGGAGCGGTGGAGATGAGGAGGTGTCGGCGTTCTGGCCATTTACTCGGAAGGTCCCTAACTCCGGGGACTTCCGACCGGGGATTTTGGGCGGCAGTATACGCCGTGAAGTTGTTTGCGGCCTGCCAGTAAACCCAAAGCAGCAGCAGAAGGAGTGACGTCAGCGGCTTCATTTGCCTAATCCACCCCCAGGAACTCATTTCTGGTGTGAACGCGATCTGTTCTTAGTTCATGAGAACTAAAGAGTTCTCAGGAACCTTTCTGGGAAAAGTACTTGGTGTGAACGCGCCTATTGTTAGTGCCAGCAGATCTGCCCTTTCGGCAAGCAATGTGGAAAAGTTAATTTTTCTTTAAAAAAACATGAAAATACAATGACAAGTATGTCCTAATGTCAAACTGGCTGCTTAGGTACAGTACAGTTCAAATACAGATTATTTCAGTTCATCGAAATGCTGCACCTTAATTTTTATTTTATTATATTTTGTATATATTTGAGTGAATATTCACAGTTTAATAATAATTGAAAACTCATAGTTTATGTTTTGTGAGTACTAGTACAGTAAAGTTCAAATACAGATTATTTCAGTTCATCGAAATGCTGCACCTTAATGTTTATTTTATTATATTTTGTATTTATTGGAGTGAATACATTATTCACAGTTTAATAATAATTAAAATATATATATTTTATCTTTTGTGATCATTTTTTCTGCTGTACCGAAAACATACCGAACCGAACCGTGACCTAAAAACCGAAGTACGTACCGAACCGAAATGTTTGTGAACCGTTACACCCCTACTAGCTAGCATGTCTGTGTGTACTTGCCAGTATAATTTGTCTTTTCTTTTCAGCAGTTAAAGCTTTCAGGATGTTTCAAGCTTCCAGAGGTGCCAGCTTCGCACAAATGCTCATGAAGAATATACCTGAGACATCAAGACAGACTGAACCATCCAAACCTGCCGCAACGTCAAATCAACCAAGCAAATATACTTCTTACGAACAAGGGAAGGGTTCGTATAAAAATGGTGAGTATAAGAATCTCATTTGCTTGTAACCTTAATGACTAGCAACATCTTTGACCCATTGGTTTTATCAAAATGAACAAATCTGTACGGTAGAATTTTAATCTGTTCTTTCTGCCCTGTTCTTATTTCACCAACAAAGGTTATGCCAAACCAACAGCTTCACCTAAAACACTGATTGAAATATACAAGAAAGGTGAGACAAACGCCATCTCTTTGATCCATCAGCTTGCCCAGGTTTTGCAGTTCCACTTGGAGATGAAGGAGACAGTGACTCCAGGTACAAATACACCACTCGACATGTTTGTGAGCTTTTAGATACACTTCAGAGACCACTTGTTTCAAGTTTCAAGGCTTTTATTGTCATGGTTGCATAGCTACAGTGTTGTCATGACAATCTTAGGTCACAGGCTCCTCCAACAGTGCAACACAATAAAACGGATAAAATAGTTCAAGTAAATAAAATTGAATATAATAGAAACAGAATATGATAGAAACTGCAGAATAGTCTATATACAGTAATTAGAATATTGATATATATGATATATGCGAGTTGCAAACAGATGAATGTTATGTATGTTCTTTCAAAAGTTCAGGTGTTTAACATTCTTATGGCCTATGGGATGAATTGTTTTATTATTGTCAATGAAAGCTTTTTGTTTGATTATAGAACATACAATAACAAAGCAAACTATTCATATATTGCCTAGGTTGAAATTGTAATCTGGTTTTATGACTAGCTCAGATATTCCCATGATTCCCAAATCTGACTGCTTACTAGTTTCTTTTGTAAAAGACAGCTAGAGGACTTCTCTCCAATCCATTCTTCTGTTGTTTCTCAGGCAATTTACCAGGGCTTTATTTTGCCTTTTGCGTGGTGATTGATGGGTTTGAGTACAAGACTGGTGTTGGAATAACAAAGAAGGAGGCTCGACTGAAAGCGGCACAGCTCGCTCTGCCGGACCTGCTGCCCACCTTGGATTGTCTGAAGTCTGACTTCCCTGAAACAGCAGGTAAATGTCTAATACTGATCTAACAAAGTATTTCTGTAGCAGACAATTCCTGGACTGCCAACGTGTAATAACAGACCACATCTTCATTCATTCCCATGCCTGTTTGTTTTTCTTAGATGTCCCTCCACCACTGCCAGTAAAAGAGGAGCACTCCATCTCTGACCTTTATCCTTGTAAAGCCGATCATGGTACTGTAATTCTGGATTCTATTCGACTGGATGGCAAATATTAGGACAGTGGCATATTTTGTTCAGGTCTTAAATGAAATATTGACGTTTAATTTGAGGGGTTGTGTCCAAAGGGCGGTACTACAATTTCCGTATCAGTCCGTGACGTCACTGGGCCCAGAAAGACTTTTCCCCATTGACTAACATTGGGAAAGAGACGTCTGTAAATCAGCGGATAATTTTTTGTTAAATTAAGTAAACTACCCAGTATGAACTATCTTATAGCCCTTATTAGAATCATTAGGTCCTTAAAGTTCTAAAATGCACTAAAAGCCGAATCTAGATTTATTTTCTGTCTCCATTCATTCTACTGAGCTGAGAGTGGGAGCTCGGGGGGCGGGGCTTAAGGGGCCATGCTCTGTGAGCGCACATACGGGTTCTTCTGCTCTGACAGCTAGGCATGATGGGTAATCTGTGACATTGGGCCATTTTGTCTTCATGCGTCAATGAGCAGCTCTCAGGAAAGAACGAGAACCCGCCTCCCACGCTGTATCCAGTTCTTATTATGCATCCATGGTTCTAACCTGTTGGTATGGAGGTCAGGTGACTTGCGTCTGTTGAAGAACACCTCTACTGTTTGGCCTGAAAAACATGTTGGTTAGTCTGGCTGTATTTTTTAGAATGATTGTGTTCGATAAAGTTAAAAGTTAGCACTCAAAATCCCTGTTTTATTTCATTTTAAAAACCTTTGCTCTGTAGTATTGCCAAAGAAACAAAAACAAATATGAATCTTGACATATTTAAATACATGCTTTTTGAAGCAAAAAGGGGAAATGCATTGAATACTGCTAAAACTGTAAGCTACAGTAGATATGCACATTTCTATCTAACTTTTGTATACGTGGTGTCTTATATGTCTTGCTGTTCAGAAAGAACAAGTCCTTTAAACCACCGGATTCCCAACGCTGTCAAGGATCAGCTCACTAAACTGATGAACAGCCACCCAGAGTTCACTGCCTGCGCTGGCACCACAGCAGCGTTCATCATGCAGACTTGTAAGGGACCTCTCACAAACGCACAGTTAAATCAAAAATGTATTTTGAATGTGTGAATGAACCATAATATTGGAAACAATAAGAGCTGTTTTATTCGTCATTGCTGTGAACAGTGTAAAGACGACCTAAAAAACGTTCTTACACTTTTCCTACAGAAAATTGATATTTTTATAATCTTCACAAAAGCAGTATTTATTGCATTTATTTGCTCATGGTACTTTGTCAACGGTCTTATGTGTACTAAATCTAATACTACAGACCTGCTCATTAGGAGTGCAGATGTTTTTATAGCGCCATTAGCTCTGTTCAGAATATAAATCTCACACATGTATGCATTCATCTTTTTGACAAAATTCCTCTCCCTCTTTAGCCGGCGGATATGATGTGGTCGCTCTAGGCACTGGAAACTTTAATACCAAAGAGAGTACCTCGTTGAGTGGACGTGTTGTGCATGATTCACATGCAGTGGTTACTGCAAGGAGATCTCTTATGAGGTAAGATACAACCATGAGCCTGTGTGTGCATGATGTGGTTTGGGTCATGATGCAAGTCTTTGATTACAGCAGATTATTTACTTTATATACAATATCTTGATCTAATCAACCACTGAACAAAACTATATTTCAACTCCCATGAATGACCAAAACAATTCAGGTTAAACCCCTTCAAATACTGAAGGTTGTAAAATGTGTCACACAGAACACTCATTTGTTGAATACCTAATGTTCCAGTGTGGTTAGTAAGTGTGTCATATACTATATCATACATGATGTCATCTGAAGATGTGGTGCTGTCAGTAGAGACATTATTCTAGAGTTGATTATTGTTTGTGTGTTATTTAAATTGTCATCTATAGTTTTTAAAATAACAAAATAGAATTCCAACCGGTTTAAAGATGCCTAATATTTCCCACGACTTATTACCACTTATATTATTGTACCGAATATGCAATCATTTGAACGCCTGTATAGATTGATGTATCTACTTAGCAACATTTAGCATGTCATTATTACGCACTGGTGTCACATCAGGTATGTGTTAATAGGGAAACATGTTGGTTTATGTGTAATGCTTTGGTTGAGTACATTGTGTTTAAATGTGTTACATTGTAAAGTCTTCACGTCGAAAGGAGCCAGTTGAGGTGGTTCGGGCACCTAGTTAGGATGCCACCTGGGCGCCTCCCTAGGGAGGTGGTCCAGGCACGTCCAGCTGGGAAGAGACCAAGGGGTAGACCTAGGACCAGGTGGAGGGATTATATCTCTTCGCTGACCTGGGAGCGCCTTGGGATCCCCCAGTCAGAGCTGGTTGATGTCGCCAGGGAAAGGAAAGTTTGGGGCTCTCTGCTGGAACTGATACCCCCGCGACCCGACCACGGATAAGCGGGAGAAGATGGATGGATGGATGGACTTTGTAAAGTTCTGGGAATATTCCTTTTTTAACAATGCATGAATGTTGCTGTTTTGGAAATGGCTCACGTTAAGATTATTTTAACTGATTATTTATGTGGGAACCCACAGTGAACCCTTTTCCTTTAATCAATGAAGGTCTTCAGCCCGTGACACTTTCACTTCACATTTCTCCGATGTTGCTCTAATCTAATGTGCCGACAGGTTTCTGTACCGGCACCTGCTGATGTTCTTCAGCAAAACGGCCAATCTGACGGAGAAGTCGATCTTCCAGCGGAGCAGCAGTAGCGGCCTCCTCACCCTGAAGAGCGGCATCAGCCTCCACCTCTACGTGAACCAGCTGCCAAAGGGAGCCGCTCAGATCCCGTCCAAACTGTGAGTTAGGGCTGCACGATTTGGGCAAATAATCGAATTGCGATTTTTCTGACAGATATTTCGATTTTAGTTTTTAAGCGACCCAACGGAAGTTTATAGTAAAATGCGGCCATATCTCCGGCTAGGAAGGTCGCATCAACGTGCTCCCGTCTCTAGCACCCCCGCAGCCCGAGCTACGAGTGAAAGAACTAAACGTACATGAAACTTCCGTTGGGTTGCTTTAAAGTCAAGCTTCAGTTTAAGATTCACCCTGTAATAGAAACATGTGATGGAGCATTACTAACCTGACTCAGATGGTTGGTTTCACCAAACCATCTAAAGCTCCATTGGAAGCCATTTGGAAAAGTATTTCAAAAGCACTTGGCAGGTGATTGGATCAATCTGTCTATCACCTACTATCATGGGCCACTTCTGATTGGTTAACAATGACTGGTGCATGTGGAGCACAGCACTTTTGATTGGTGTGGATGACTGACACAAGAAGAACAACAAATACAAATTAAATACAAAAAAATTGCAAGCTTTGTGATTTGATAACTGCATCATTTCAAATTTCGATTTCAAATCGATTTATCGTTCAGCCCTACTGTGAGTGTTTGATCACTCGGCACCTTTTGGCCCTGCTGAAAGTCAATGTTGAGACTGTTTGTATAAGACGAAGGCAATGTGAGGCCATGCAAAAGTCGGCTCTGTCACTTCTGGTTCTTTTATGTCTGAGGTGCTCACTGCTGTTTTCTCAATAGGTACTTTAAACTAAGTGATGTTATAGAATCAAGGTTGCAAGTAAGGGGTACATTATTGGAAGTCGTTTTCCACTCAACCTAGGGCTGCTCAATTATTTGTATTTTAATCGCAATTACGATTTTGGCTTGCAACGATTATGAAAACATCGATAAATAAAATGATTGTTTTATTTAAATTATTTTTTTGTATTGGTTTTTCAGTTGAGTTATACTTAAAGTTCAATAAATGGATGTTTTCAAAGTAAATGGATAATCGTTTTTAATAATCGTGATATCAATTATTGACCCAAATAATCGAGATTATGATTTTTGCCATAATCGAGCAGCCCTAAATCTCAACCTCAATGGGGCTGTGTTTATTACTCAGTTTGTCTTAACAGCCTAAATAAAAAGCTTCAATAGGTTAAAAAAAGCAAAGTATTTAGAGTTAAAAAAAAAAAAATGTTATCCATTGCTCTTCCTCAGCTCTGTGCTCTGTTCCCAGGCGTCTGAACCCACTCTCTATTTCGGCGTGGCAAGTCAACAACGAGATCAGCCTACACCTGTCAGTGGAGGGGAAGGTGATCAACTTTTACTTTTCCATCCACAAGGTCTTTCTTTAATGATAAATGCATCAAAAGTAAAGTTGTATATTGCTAAATGCGTCATGGGCTTATATTATAAACGGAAATGCAACTGTTGACTACACAACTTTTTTTCATTTTTTTTTTCAGGTGTTCTCTGTTTTCTCGTCAGCTTTTGATCACTCTGACTCCAAAGTGGTTAGCATGTCCACCACAGACAAGCTCACTCAGTGGCAGGTGCTAGGATACCAGGGAGCCCTGCTCAGCCACTTCATTGAGCCCGTCTATGTGCAAAGCATCCTTATAGGCAAGTCGTGGTCCTTTAGTGGTTTCCCCACAACCAGCAAAGACAGCTACCCTATTGCATAAAACCTTAAAATGTCCCATTAAACAACATTTAAAAAGCTTTTACTGTAAAAGAAGTATGGAACTTGTAATGCCTTACAAAGTGAAAGTAGCGTATAGTACATACTTCTCCATAGTGACATAGAGCCCTGCATTTTCTAAAGGAAACCGTAGATCTAATAATAGGCCCTTACAGTATGTAACAATTCATGCAGTCTATATTCAGACTGCAAACACATTCCCCATCTTTTAAATCTTCTGTTTGACCAAGAACATAAGAACAGGTGTACAAATAACCTACTCAAGTTTACAAAGAGTCAATATTGTTAGATAATATCTTCCATGGCACTCCTCTCCTCTTTGAAAAACTGGAAACTCCAGGATAGTTGTAATGGCTGTGTGAATATGCAAAAAACACCTACATGATAGATTCAATTCATCATCACTGATAGGTGACACTATTACATCATCACACACACACACACACACACACACACACACACACACACACACAGCTTTACTAACTAACTGCTGCAGCACATTATACTGTACTGTTAAAATTAGAAACCTTACATTTCCTAACTATCTTCACTAATCACCTCTGGCCCCCTGAGTACCCTGTTTTTTAAACCCACAATCATCTTAAATGCAGACACCAAAAAATACCCATCTTCTTATTTAACACTTTGATAGAATAAGGATTGATTGAGTTCAATAATACAACATTCTCAAGTTGTAGAAAGGGGGTGAAGTATGACTTAAAGGTCCCCTATTATATTGTCTTTCATCAACATGTTATGGGTCTCAGATATATACAAACATGTCTCTGAAGTGTTTGGCTCCAAACACTAAACAGATCATTGCAGCATTACCCATAATCCCCTCTGTTTCAGCCCTGTTTCCAAAGTGCTGATTCTCTGTCTGTTACTTTAGATGAAAATAAGGAGCTCCCCCCCCACGCCCCTCTGAGAGACATTTGGTTAAAAAGAACTCAATGGTGATAAGGTGGGGGGGGGTTACCTTGGTTGGTGATTGGCTAATGGTTACACAAGCCAAAACATCGTTATGCCATAAAGTGGTGTTAAGTGACAGGTTTTTATATAAATGGATGAGGACAAAAAGAGAGAATCTTTTCTCCTGAAACTTTCAGAGTCTCTTTCCACAGAGGGGACACATGTTGATGTAGAAGAGACATGGAGAAGAGGGGACACATGTTGATGTAGAAGAGACATGAAGAAGAGGGGACACATGTTGATGTAGAAGAGACATGAAGAAGAGGGGACACATGTTGATGTAGAAGAGACATGGAGAAGAGGGGACACATGTTGATGTAGAAGAGACATGAAGAAGAGGGGACACATGTTGATGTAGAAGAGACATGAAGAAGAGGGGACACATGTTGATGTAGAAGAGACATGAAGAAGAGGGGACACATGTTGATGTAGAAGAGACATGAAGAAGAGGGGACACATGTTGATGTAGAAGAGACATGAAGAAGAGGGGACACATGTTGATGTAGAAGAGACATGAAGAAGAGGGGACACATGTTGATGTAGAAGAGACATGAAGAAGAGGGGACACATGTTGATGTAGAAGAGAAATGAAGAAGAGGGGACACATGTTGATGTAGAAGAGACATGAAGAAGAGGGGACACATGTTGATGTAGAAGAGACATGAAGAAGAGGGGACACATGTTGATGTAGAAGAGACATGAAGAAGATGGTACACATGTTGATGTAGAAGAGACATGAAGAAGAGGGGACACATGTTGATGTAGAAGAGACATGAAGAAGAGGGGACACATGTTGATGTAGAAGAGACATGAAGAAGAGGGGACACATGTTGATGTAGAAGAGACATCAACAAGTGGATTTTGCATAATAGGTGACCTTTAACATGTGTATTTGCTAAAATATATTTACTTTTAAAATCATATAGGTGACGCTTGCTGCACTGACATCCGTGGCATGAAGATCTCTGTGAGCCAGCGTGTGGAGGGGGTCACCTCCCTGCTGCCCATGTTCTACTGCATGATGAGACCCCACATCAGCCTGGTGCCCTCTGTGGCCACCAACAGCACCGACAGAAGGCAGTTCACCTACGGTATCAACTGGAGCGAAGGAGACAGCTCCCTGGAGGTGGTGGATGGCCTGGAGGGCAAGACCATAGAGGAGTAAGGATCACTTAATAGGATATTGACAGTTGGGATGCCAGAAACTGACCATGATCAAAACCGGACAGCCCGGGCGAATATTAATCGATTATCCATCGCCCCCCGGGAGAGAATTTTTTTTTTTGTAGCGACAAACTGGTGGTGTGACCAATGGCCATTTACAATTATTAATACTATTAGCATTAGTCTATGTTTTGGTTGAAACTAAGCCAGGAAAAAAAAGAAAAACATAAATGATAATAAAAAAATATATAAATAAAATCTAATTATAAAAAAATAATAATTTTCGATTATGGAAACTAACGAATATTCGAAAAATCGAATAATGGCTGGCATCCCTAATTGACAGTTGGGTGTCAAATGTGGTGACAAAAATGTGCATGAGGCTATTCTGTCATATTTGCTCACAAGGTGTGATGGGGTTTTCTGTGCTAAAAACGCTTAGATTGGATTGCAATTATTTAATATAAAATGTGATAACTGGGTGATTTTATTTATTTTGAAATTAGAAGCAATGCAGCCTGGAAATCTTGAGTGTTCCTCAGTTTGAAAAGTCCCCTTGTCTATGAGCTGTGTAGCAATCTACTTTCTGATTCCACTATGTGTTAGCTTTGTCTGGGATTACATCGAATGTTTTACTTTACATGGATTATCTCGTCGTAGGTCTCCCTTCAAGAGTGGCACCGCTCTTGCTAGCCGCCTGTGCAAAGCGGCGATGTCGCACCGCTTCAAGTTGGTGGCCAAAGAGGCCCAGAGGCCGGAGCTGCTGGCAGCGAGCTCCTACAGCAAGGCCAAGGTAACACTCAAATGGTTTCAGATTCAAAGGCTGAGAACCAACGTTATTATAACAGCATGGTATTTTGTGCTTCACGTAAAAAAATAAAATAAAACTAATAATTAACCTTTAAAATATAATTTACATTTACACGAAAGTAACATTAGCGGTATCGACAGCAGAAGCTCCAGTAAGGTGGTGTGTGTGTGTGTGTGTGTGTGTGTGGGTGTGTGTGTGTGTGTGTGTGTGTGTGTGTGTGTGTGTTGTGTGTAGTGTGTGTGTGTGTGTGTGTGTGTGTAGTGTGTGTGTGTGTGTGTGTGTGTGTGTGTGTGTGTGTGTGTGTTGTGGGTGTGTGTGTGTGTGTGTGTGTAGTGTGTGTGTGTGGTGTGTGTGTGTGTGTGTGTGTGTGTGTGTGTGTGGTGTGTGTGTGTGTGTGTGTGTGTGTGTGTGTGTGTGTGTGTGTGTGGGTGTGTGTGTGTGTGTGTGTGGTGTGTGTTGTGTGTGTGGTGTGTGTGTGTGTGTGTGTGTGTGTGTGTGTGTGTGTGTGTGTGTGTGTGTGTGTGTGTGTGTGTGTGTGTGTGGACGGACGTGTGGACCGGACACAGCTATGAATGAAGTGTGACAGGTTTTCCTACCGACGCGTTGGAGTTTTTTTATTTCTTTTTTTAGTCGACAACATTCTTTTTCAAAGTCACAATTGTATTATAGCATTAAAGAAGACCTATTCTGCTCATTTTCAGGTTCATATTTGTATTTAGCTCCTCTACTGGGACATGTCTCCATGCTTTAAAGTTCACAAAGCTCTTTATTTCTCTCATACTGCCTGTGCTGCATCACCTCTTTTCACCCTCTGACTGAAACCAGAGCCCAGTCTGCTCTGATTGGTTAGCTGGGCCGGCTCTGTTGTGATTGGTCAACCAATTAGAGTAACATAACCACATTATGTTACAGAAGAAGTAATCAAAGGAGTCCAATGGAGGAGTTTCAGGCAGCTGGGAAGTATGTGGGAGAAAGTTCCCTCTGGTGGGAACTTTCGGGTTATCCTTTGCAGACTATTTACATGCACACAATCCTACATATCCGACTCTAGGAAAGGGAAAACCCCAAAAAGCATAATGTTGCTACAGGTATCCTCTGTTTAACTATATTTTGTATGGAAAGCAGACTGCGTATGTTCAAATGAATCCACACACTTGCATGGATTAAAGGTGGGGTAGGTAATTCACTTCAGAAAACTCTTAACTAGGGTTGGGTATCGTTTGAATTTCCACGATTCTGATTCCGATTCTACTTTTCGATTCCGGTTCTTAACGGTTCTCAATACCGATTCTTTGAGGGGCAGGGTAAACAAATGATGCATGCTTCTTCCACCAAAAAATTACATTTATTTGAGAAACTTTGACACAGGTTAGTTTACAGTAATATTCACATTAATCAGTCTGTTTATATTCACTGCCATGTAGCTGTAACCTGAGAACCACTGAAGCTGCAACAGTCCAACTTTTAAAGGAACCCCCCCCCCAATTTAAAAACAGTTCTTGTTGAGAAAAACAAGCATACCTGCCTCTCAGGCATACCGGGAAGAAATGTTTGAACATTTTAAAGTAAAATGCTTCAATCTGGTGCACTTTAAGCAGAATGACTAGAGACTAGATGTAGGGGGTACAACTCTAAACACCCATATGAAAAAGATCGGTTTACATTTTAATAATTAAATAAGTATGTGAGCATAACCAATAACCCATAGCCAATAACAAATACAACGCATTTCATTTTTGTTTTTCATTCATTTCTTATTTTACTATTTTATTTATGCATATTTTTGTATCTCTCAGTTTAAAACGATATGTCTGGTTTACATTACATTACATACTATAGTATACATTGGAATGATTTCAAACCTGTTTATCCCAATCATTATAAAGGAGTGCCTTGGAAATATGTGTTTACATAAATTGTGACCAAAACGTTTGAGACCCACTGAGATAACTTAGACATCTATAACGCCAGTGCGACGGGCCGGCCCTGGTCTCAGGTTACGCTGTAGGAAGTGTAGGTACAACGCTACATTTCCCGCCCCGCCGCAGTCATACAGTAGACTACGGAGAGCGGCGAGAAACATTTCCTCAGGCATCGAAAAGCGGAACCGAAATTCACATTTCTAAATGATGCCGTTGGAATCGAAATGTTGGAACCGGTTCCGAACCGATTCTCAGTACCCAACCCTACTCTTAACATCCCGATAGCAATGAATATATTAAATGCTTTGACAATAAATCCATAACAAAATGTTACGCCGGCCCGGCTAAAGTAACTGGATGGCCTACCTGCCTGTCAGCCTTCCATCTGTGCACACACTTATCTCGTGCCCTCATTGGTCATGTGCGCGTTCGTGTGTGTTGGAGGAGGGGCTCTGTAAGGAAGTCTGAAGGAAGGGGCAGATTATTTTCGGCTGCGTACTTTCAAATTCTAGCGCACTCGAGCTGGTTTCTCCATTCTACCTTTAACTCTAAATTGATATTTGGAATGGATTTTGTGAATATGTTTTGAGAGAAGTGTTCTGCAGAATTTGTTTTTTTTATACTTGTGTTGTTGTTATGTCACCGCAGAGGATGGCCAAGGCGTACCAGGAGGCGAAGAACGTGCTGAAGGCGTACCTGCTGCAGCAAGGCTACGGTGCCTGGCCGGTCAAGGTGTCTGTGAGTGATAACTTCAGCATGTGAAGATAAACACATTATCTCGAGAGAACAAAACCTGTGTTGAAGAAATAATGTTCACGTTGCTGTGGGACTTTACTGTAATGCTAAAGTGATTTCTAAAGGGATTAAAGTCAATCACTGTTAATGTTGAAGAGCTATTTTGGGTTAGTTGAATTCGTCTTTGGTGTTTTACCTTCAGATTTAGTTGTGATTTTCACAAAAGGAATACGAATGCTTTAAATGTGTCACGTAGCCATTAGTAGAGGCAAACCAATTGTTACAGCCCTAACGCTTTTATCGGGGAAATAGTTTTGCTTCCTTATGTGCATGCTGAGAAGTGATTTGTATTGTTTTACTGTTTAAAAACAACATTTTGCCAATGTGTTGGAAATGTGCACGACGTTCAATATTACTTTCTGTATCAAGATTTTACTTGAATTGTCCTTAAGTATGATGAGTAAGTTATGGTTGTTGCATAAACATTTAAAGTTTGTCTCCACTCAAATGACTGTTTTGTGAGAACAACCTCTTTTTGACTTATTCCTTGCTGCTGAACAGTATGGTGCCGAAGTGAGCCATGGCTAATGCTCAACGATGGAACAACTAAATAAAACCAAACCATAGCTCAAATGTTTGTGTTTGGCACGTGTTAATTTAGCAGGAACACTTACATTACCAAAGAACACTTGTTTCTCTATATCTCCAAACATTCAATTAACGGAGCGTTTTTGGGGCTCTTTTATTGACATGAATGACGAAGCCCTTTGACCATGCTAAAAGAAGAAAGCAAAGTAAATAACATCAACTTCACTCGGACCCCATTTACACGCAACCAAACTGAATACGATATCAAAAAAGTTTTCCCTTCACACGAGACCGCTCAGGAGCGCTGGAGACGCTGTAGTACATTTTCCAGGCCTGTAAGTGTTGCCACAAAATACACCAAAAGCAGCGAAGAAGACCCCGAGCATGGTTGCCATGGTTGCCCTTCTGTATATGCCCCGCGGTGGGTTTAGCAACATGTAGTCCATGTAGTTCTCCATGTCCACTTGTTGCTGATGGTTGTGGTAGAGGAGCTGTAGATGTTGCACTAACATCTGTAGCATGTAGCTACTGACCATGCTACAGCAGAGGTGGGGAGAGGCGGGGCTCTGGCTTCATCGTTATCAGGAAATTATCGTATAGGGCGTACACCCGGAGCCGTTTGGCCCCCCAGAGCGTTCCGTCCGCAGATCTATCCACCTTGGGACCCGTTATGGTTTGCGCGGTTCCGTTACGACCTCGTGGGAACGAACGGGCTATACGCGAGAGAAAAGTAGCAGATACAACCCGTTTGCGTTCTCGTGTAAACACCACATCAGAGGCTATGTCTTATTGGCCCCCTGCACCTTCGGGCCCATTGCTAATCCACCACTGCTGCTTTGTTGCAATTCACCTAGAAAACGGGAATATTTAGAGAATTGTTTGCATTTTATTAGGAAGTGATGATTTCCTATCTTCTGAAGGGGCCGTAATATGAAGTGGCTCACATTGTAAGAACACAAGAGTGCATCAATTGAAGATCTGGCTGCTTGTCACTGAATTCAAACCTGTTGACCCCGATGTTGATACAAACTGTTTCACTCGGTTATTATATATACACACACAGGAAATGCTTTGGTTTCCTGTGTGTGCATTGCAGTGGATCATCTACTCTTTAAGTGTTGATCAGTCTTTGTGAATGGAGAGATGCGTTTACTTCCCACTGGTTTGGGCAACAGAAGGAATTACTGGTGCATTCAGGGGACTTTTCCCCAAAGGATCCAGCCTTTCAGGTGCATGTACAGCTCCAGGTTTTATATTTATTTGTCTCTTATATATGTTGTTGCTTACACATGATATGCTGTGCAGAGTCTGATCTTTAATGCAGTGCAACCAACCCTTATGGCATCTTAACACACACGGTTTGATGTTACTTTGGCCATTATTACAATGTTATAATAGGATTAGTTTCTTGTGGATAGTGATCGGGTTCTGCTCCATGTGTGCAGATCCACAGAGTTGACGGCTGATCTTGATGCTGACTGTTTGTCCTGCTTCAAATGATGACGCCGAGGGAAAACAAACATGGCACCACTTTTACAGTATGTTGTTATAATACATGTTGTGTAAATGAACCTCCCTCCTGCTGAAGCATTGCATAGTTGTTGTTTTTAAGTTAGAAGGTAACATTTTGATCAAGAAAAACATTGGCTACTAGACGGGGAAGTATCCTAAAAACAATATTCTAGTGGTTTGATTTTGCCTGAATCGTCTATAGTTAATGAAATCACTGAAACTATAATGCTTAATGTGTGCACTTGTGCAGATCAATGCAATTCCTATTAATCTTTGTATGTGGTCAGGAAGGGCCTGGTGTTGTCTAATGCCACTGGGATATAGATAATATGACTGACACTTATTTAAGTTGTTGTAATATTCTTCCACAGAGAGGCAGATTCATATAGTGTTAACATGTATGTGAGTACCGCCTTTTTTTCTGCCACTGAGGTGATGCTAGTAGTTTTAGAGATAAACAGGATATGCAACTCTCTTGATGTGGTTACACCGTGAAAACATTTCAGACCAGAGCTCTTAGAAAGCCGTGCACCTATACTGAGGATGTGTGACAGTAGTAATGTGCTGCATTCTCGTACATTGTGGCTGGATTAAGATCTCAAACTGCCTCTGGGCCCCCGCTGCAAGATGATAGCCCAAATAATGATCATGGTTATTTTGGTCAATATTGAGATCACAAATAGTCATCATAATTCAACATTTTCCTATTTTTTTTAAATAACAAGAGCTCTGCTTTCACTTTCATATTGTGCTACATGCTAATTAACAAACCTTTGCATCAAAATACTTCTTAAAACAGTGTTTTCTTCACCTGTATCTTCTGCTCTCCGTTGTATAGTTCACTTCAATTCGGAACCACAAGCACAACATTTACACGGTTCCTGTGGAGTCAGAATTTATGAGCTTAAAAAGTCTTAAATATGATCCAAATAATAAGAAAGGTCTTAAATATGATTTAGAACAGTGGTTCTCAACTGTTGGGTCGCGGACCCGTTTCGAGTGGGGTGCTGATATGTGAGTGAAGAAAAAAGATTGGGGGGGGGGGGGGAACGTCTACATTTTATTTTGAAGGCCCGATTTTCTAACGCTGTGCATGCATAGCGGACTGGAAGTACAGGAGACTAAACAGTTTTGAAAACTTCAGATCAGAATCAAGATTGTTGCCGGAAGTCCCCACGGAGAATAACTTTGCGGTAGAACTCTTCTTTATACATCCATGGGTACAACTTCAGTTACAAATGAACACATAATGAAATATGACTCCCGGTTTGATGACTGACAGGTCACAGAACAATGGGGGCTATCTACCCTTACCCACAATTTAAAGTAAGTCACACAGACTCTCTCCTCTTTGCTCTTCTCTCTGTGAGGAGCAGCAAGCTGTCAGAACTAAGTGAAAAACAAACAATGGCATAAAATATTATTAAAATGTCGGGTAGTAATAGATTTATTTATTTTCTTCTCGGAGTACCAGAATGCGTAGTTTATATGTTGGTATTTCAACATATATAATAATCCCCCCAGACCGCCCTTCTGGGGTCGGGTTTTCAGCATGTGTGCCTTTTTAATGTTTTCCAGTTCAGCTTTGATTCCATCATCTCATTAAACCTTCTTAAAAAGCATTCTTTAGTTTTGTGAAGGGATACAGTATATTCTCTGTACTTCACTTTAATTCATAATGTTTGCTGAAAAGCGTATATATTACAGCATGATTTGTTGTTGAATAGATTTGAGTGGTTCAACATTTTGGGTCGCGATTTATTGACCAAGGAAAAAGTGGGTCCGAGGCCTGACCAGTTGAGAACCACTGCATTAGAAGGTCTTAAGATGATCGGATTTGAAAGGTACTTCTGTGTTGCGATCACGTCTGAATGTGTTCTGGGGGAAATGTCCGGGCGGCAAAGTAATACATATACTTTGTAATTATGGGACGTATTTCTTCTTTCACAGCAATTTTCCTTCATACTTTCTTGCCGTGAAATAGGTCTTAAAATCTATTCAAAGTGGTCTTAAAAAGGTCTTAAATTTGAGTTGGTGAAACCTGCAGGAACCCTGATTTAGGAGCATGTAATAAAAGCGGGCTACACATTTTCAATACACCATGTTGTTTTCATCGTGGGAAGCCAACATTGTACTTGCCAATTTTGATTTACTTAAGAGCGCAGCCTTAGCCTGGGTTGCTTTTTATTTTTGCCATGTAGTGTTTTGTATTTGAATCACAAGGATCTGACCCTGCTGACTCATTCTAAAGGTGTCCATTGTTTCCTTTTCTGTTTCTTACATCACTGAGTCATGCATTGGGAATTCTTTACAGATCGGTGGTTGTTTTACTTTGGCAGTATCATTAAACACAAGGTCATTACTAGGGTTGGGAACCAAAACTCGGTTCCAGATGAGAAATACCGGGTACCCATGCAAAATACACAATTTCGGTTCTGCTTAACGGTTCCTAAACGCGGTAGATCCTGTATTCCACCGGGTCCGTCTGCGCCGTGGCGCTGCGGTGACCTGGTGGAATACATAGCGGACTGGCCATCTGTGTGTTCTGGAGAATCACAGAACGGCCGGTCGTCAGCGGGCCGTTGACGGACGGCTCGGTACGCTGGCGGCCGGCACCGCCCTTAATTTTTTTTAAACGGCATCATGTAAGTTGCGCTGACAGGCGACAGAGGTCCACAGTTGCCCCACAGTTGCCCCACAGTGAGGCTCCCCCCGCCCTCCCGTAGACAGTTCACGAGCTCAGTCACTTCATAACACCAAAGATGGGTCGCGGTAAACGCTCTAAAGTGAGGCTCCACTACACTAAGAAAGAAAAAGACAAGGCACAGTGTAATGCCTGTTAATAGCTGGCCACAGGAATAGCTCAGTTAAAAGAAAGCACAGCTGTTGTGTAATACATAAGTATTGCATGTATATTTTTTTATTTGTAAAAATGTCAGTTAAAGCTTAAAAGAATAAAGATAATTTTGTTATCTAAACGTTTGACCTCTTTCGTTTACAATTTTGGAATCAAAACGGGGAATCGATACATTTCAAACGATACCCATCCCCAGCCATTACATAATTTGAACATAGAACCATACATTAAACTAAACCTCAATAGCAGGTACGTACTTTCAAAACAACCTCGAAGAGTTTTTTATTAAGCTATGTAAAGTAAATATGGAGTCAAGTCGTCCTGAGCAAAGATTTAAGTCAAAAAGGGAGTTCAAAGTTGCCCAAAAGAGCAATCCAAAGTATGAGCAATCCTTTCCTAAGCTTAACAGCGTTAGTTGACTTCCATACATTATACTTATCATATGATCTGTATTAAAACCCACTCACAATAACATTCTGGTGATACGATCTTCAGATGAGAAAACAATGAATAAGTAAGTACAACTTTATTTATATAGCACCCTTTTCAACACGAATGTACAAAGTGCTTTACATACAGTACACAATACAACTATATGTAGAATAAAAGGCATAAACCACAGCAAGTAAAAGATAGGATAAAACATCAATGAAAAACAGCTACAAAGTAGGGGTGC